CTACTTACAAAGCAGCATATGGGTGGATGTCAAAATTATTGTCCCTTTTTGGGTCCCTATTATAAAACGGCACCTAATATTTAGGGTACCCCAAAAGGGATCATAATTTTGACAACCACCCATATAACAACCATGGCTCAGATATCCCCGTGGTCTGGGTACACCTCTCTTGAGCAATCCTGAATACGCTTTCGAGTCTAGAATGAATAGGAGGCAGGATGAGGAACCCGTATAGATTTCAGGTCAGATTGAATACATGACATAAGGCATGTGTGGGCAGTCCAGGTAAGGGAGCCAAATACCTGTCCAGCTTCCCTCTCCCGTTGGCGCCATGGGCCTATCTGGTAGTTTCCCAGTATAGGGGGACCACCAAAATCGACTCCACAATACTATAACCCTTATTATGGGGAAAGTACCCCCAATTCGAAACAAAACATACGTACTCTTTAAAACAAAGGTTGTCAGAAGCCCATACTTGGGACCCTGAAAATAGGTAGGGGTCGTGGTTATGACGTCTTTGCGGCTTAGCGTTGACAGCTCAGGACTAAGACCTTGAAATCCTCGTGGGGTTCTAGGGCTCAACATTTGAGGCTTGACTTATGTGTTGTTCAGGGGCTGCTGGTGCTGAGGAGTCTTCTTGTCGCGCTCAAATGGGTCGCAGCTGACGATGGCATGATTAGCCCAGCAAAGGGTCCGAATACCCATGCAATCAATGTCTTGCGGATTTGAAGTTTCAGGGAGAGAAGTTCTCCTCGTTCTCTTTGTCTGGTCCAAGGATTTGGGTCCTTAAATAGGGGGACCCCGATATAGGGACCCCCAAAAAGGTGTCCCTAATTTTGGGAAACCCCCCATTTGGGTCCCTAAACTTCCCGAAACCCTAAACCCTAAACCCTAGACCCTAAACCCTAAACCCTAAACCCTAAGCCCTAAACCCTAAACCCTAAGCCCTAAGCCCTGAACCCTAAACCCTAAACCCAAGGAATTGGGTCCCTAAACTTCCGGGCCACCGAAGCAAGGCCTTCTTGAAGTCCCCACTTAGCTCTGGGGTGCTACACCTTTGGTTCCCAGGTTCAGGGTCTGGGGTTCTGGGGTTTAGGGTTTAGGGTCTAGGACTTAGGGTTTAGGATTTAGGGTTTAGGGTTTGGGGTTTAGGCTTGAATTCCCTAAAACTTCTGGGCTAGATAGGGGCAGAGAAAACAAACCTTGTTATGCTCAAATGATGTCAAATCGAATGTCAGCTCTGCATGCTCCACCCCTAGGCAAACGGCGTAAAATCCCAAAAGAGACCATACAAGGACATGCTATCCTTTGGAAAGACATGAAATGGGCTTGGTGTTTTTGGAGAAGGCATACCTGCACCCTCATCTCAGATCCTAGGCCGCGACTTCTTGCATGGCAACCACTAGACAGACGACCCTCATCTTCTATGGAACCCCACACCCTAGGCCCAGGTGCTTGGACCCTTTTTTGGGCTCAACACGTTCACAAGGGCAAGCCGGCAGACTCACTGTCATTGGCGCGGATTTCGCAAAGCCCAGGGGGCTGGATCCCGACATTCTGAAGGCACTTAGAAACTGAAGTAAGTCAAGGTGAGGATTGCTATGAAGTTTCCACAGGTTGTGGTAAACAATTAGGCTCCGGGCTGGTTTTCATACATGCAGAGCGCTACCTTAAGAAAAGTTGATTACAACCTATACTTATACTGCTTCGATCCCAGCATGCACCCAGGTCCCTGGAAGGTGATTCTTGTACCTCCTACTCTAGAATCCAAGATCTGGGACAGCCCCCAATCAGCAGAGAGTTAAACATGTACATTCGTCCAACGTCCAGGCAACAATCGGTGTCAAACTCAGGCCTTGGTCAACAGGCATCTGATCTTTAGGGTTTAGGGGTCCCGTATACAAGAATTTTGTACCTTGGGATTACTGTACTATGAACCATTGTATAGGATTAGGGGGAGTATATGATGATTGTAGTTTTTGGACCCTTAGGGTTGCGGTTTGGGCTTTGGCCAGGGAATGCTCCAGTGACCCCTCTACTGGCTGAATTCCCGGCCTGGAAAAAGAACGCTGTTTCATGTTATGGGATTTGGGAAGCTCAAGCCCGTTTACCAAACAAATCGCAGAAAGGTATACATCCCGAGCTTCGATCTATTGATCCATTGTCTTCTCTAATTGATCCTTCATGCTGGTACCCGAAACCCTTACCCCCAAAACCCGAATGTAGCTTTACCTTTCTTCTTGCTTCCCCTACCCTAGGGCTCCCAGCTACCTAAATAGTGGGCTACCGTGCTATGTAACTGTAGGGTATATAGAACCTAGAACACATTATTTAGGTAACTGGAGCCCTAGGGCTATATTGGCAACAACGAACCGAAACCTGACAGTCTCCAAATCTCATCTCTTTCTGAGCATGTACAAGTGCATGAGGAATATCCTACGCACCTTTCCGGGAGGGCTTATAGTCCCCCTTAAGTAGATAGAATATGGCTTTGGGTATAGTAGAATAAGATCCCCATATACCCCATATTCTACTTATAGGGGACTATAACCCCTAAACCCTTTATAGCCCATGTTTTATCTACTTAAGGAGGACTATAGACTTTAGGGTCGCCTTCTTTTTGGCGAAGCCAGGAGAAGGAAGATGTACTTATGGGTCATGTTATGTATCCCCCAATTTTGGAGCCAACCCCGAATGTACTTGAAACGTATGTCACCGGACGCCCGGAACCATCCAAGTAGGCAATCCTCAGTTACACACTCGTCATCTGTATAATGATGCCTTTAGTTCAGCAGCGGACCCCAACCAAGCATGCAACAATGCCATGCAAAACAATAAAAATACCTTCACATTTACATGACCTTAGTTGGGGAAGTGAGGGGTGCGGGGTTGCACCTTGACCACCGAACCCCAAGCCCAAGGCCCAACCCTCCAAATCAGCAGCGAAGGCACCGAATCCGACTCCTCCGTGCTGGAGTACTCGCTAGGCTCCTCACAACACCATATGAATCGCAGTTAAGATTTACCTATCTGCAAAATTGGTGTCCTGTGAAGGGGATATAGGGGATAAAAAGGGGTAGTATCGGGGACAGGGCTATATGGGTTTATAAGGTTCGAAATCTCCAATACTTGCGGGCCCCAATACCCCTTCAACGAGGATTTTAGTGTGCTGAAACCTGATTTGCCTACGCCCTTGCCTCTGAAACACTAAAGCCGCTAACCTCTGACCCTTAACCCCAAACCCTGTGAGTATCCTCGCCCGGAGGCGCATCGTCCAAGCACAAGGCCGATGATCCGCCCAAGGTGTAGGACTCGGGATGCAAAAGCGGTTTAGGGTTTAGGGTTTAGGGTTTAGAGTTTAGGGTTTAGGGTTTAGGGTTTAGGGTTTAGAGTTTAGGGTTTAGGGTTTAGGGTTCCAGGATTTTCCCAGAGGGTCCAAGTACTCAATAATTAGGTACTTGGGCTTTGGGTAATAATCATTATAGTATAGGTTTCGGGTAAGTATATGATTATTAGGTACTTGGACCCTTCGGGTTTAAGGGTTCAGGAGTTGATTCAAGGTGCTAGAGTTCTAGGATCTAGGGATTTGGGGGGTTGGCCTTTAAGGGTTCAAGGGTTCAGGGTGAAAGGCTTAAGGATTTGGGGTTTGGAGGTCTAGCCAGTCATGACCTAAGCGTAACCAATTTGCCCTCTGCCTTTCCCCAACATGTATAGCCCTGCTCTACAAAGACAAAGAGTCTTTCTAGTATCTGTTTTGGGTGTTAGCTTTGAGGAGGCTAAGGGTTTGGGCTTTGTGGTCGAACCGCTTAGGCTTCACGTCTCTGGACTCCACATGGTGGTTTCCCAAGATTAGGGATCCCTGCTTAGGGATCCCTTTCGTATAAGGATTTTCTGGGCGTTTGATGAATGCAAGACTTTCAATCTCAACAATCCTCCGTTCGCCTTTCATTGCCCCTTGTCCTATAGGGGGCTCCGCCTATTCAGGGTGCCAGGCGTTGGGGGACTGTGTGGTGCGGGATTTGGGCACGCAGAGGCTACAGGTCTGGGCTGAAGGGCTCAAGGTTGACGCAGCAGGTGGTGCATCACTCGTTCAATCAGCAAAACGAAGAGGGTCCCGAGAACCAAGATAATTTTCTGTAGATGACAATGCGGTAGTTTCCCAAAATAGGGCGACCCCAATATAGATCCCAATATACTATACTCCTGATTATGGGGACGCCTAAAAGGATATCGCCATGTTTTGGGAAAGACCCCTGTAGACTTGTCTCATGAGACCACGATGTTCAGAAACCAAGTTGAGGAAAACCCTGGACTCTGCCTAAGTCTTTGCCTCGGGGCGTAGTACCTGTATCCCACGCACTTTGGGCCGCGTGGGCCATGGTTCCAGGTTCTATATACCCTACAGTCTGTTACATAGCGCAGTAGCCCACTATTTAGGCAACTGGGAGCCCTAGGATACATTGGGACCTACCTAATGTATCTACAGGTTCGGTACTGGGACTGCAAGGGCTGGTCCTTGGCAACTTCGGTTTTTTTAGGTTTAGACCCCAAGATCCAACAGCTAGGTAGGTATCTTACAGCACACTTATCACATTTACACTGGTAGCTGTTAGAAACTGTAGGATATCCAACGCTTGTAGCCTGCGATGTTCCGTGCCTAGGCCAGAAGGCAAGGTGTAAGGAGGATGAGTGCTCACCCAAACCCTCAGCCCAAAACCCTCATTTGAAGCCGCCAGAGCAGCATGGCAACATCCATGCCAACCATAAACCACATGGGGCTTGGCTGAAAATTGCTGTTCTCCAACTGAGCTAGTCTGAACTCCTAGTATCCCCCTTGAAAAGATCTCTAGTAGTTGCCTATAGAATCCCCTATCTCCCCCTTGAAGGAGTTTAGCATATGGCTCAAATGAGGGAAATTTGTAGATGAAACCGCCCTCTCCCTACATACACCGGCTCTTTCAGTACAAGCTTCGCGGATGTTGCAGTTGGTGGCTGCGTGGCACTTAGCACCCTTACTAAGGTTTTACCCTTGGGTACCTATAGACACCCATTATGGGGGTATAAGGGAATACCAAAGGGTTAAGGGTCTTCGGCCCAAGCTTAGTCCCAATGAGGTAGCAGAACTGTACTAGGTATCAAGCTCAGGAGCTACGAGCTTTGAGTATACTAGCAGAAAATCTTTCTCATCGGCCAGACAGACATGGCAATCCTGGTAATCCCTTCCCCCCACATTAACCCCCCTCCTAATACCAAGTAATACATTCAGGGGCATATTAAGGGGAAAACTGCTTTTACAAAGGGCCACCTAATAATGCCACAAAGCGATAAAGTGCGGAATGGGTAGAAAAGCCGCTTTCCTTTCCAGGATGACTTTAAAAACATATTTTTTTTTGCCTCGTACAATAAATATGAGCAGCAGATATTGAACGACTTGTTCAACTAATGCTAAGGAACTGGAATCTGTCGTAGGGACGGCTTTTAAACAAAGATTTGGGCTTCCGGAGTAATGAATTATAATCCCCGTATGGCAGTTGCACAATAGGGGACCGCAATGTAGACCCCAAACTTCTATAATCCCTATTCTGGAGGCTCTGAAAAATCGTACCCCCTGATTTTGGAAAACTTTATAGGATCTTTATAGTCCCTATGTAACCTATACCTATATCCCCTCTAGAGGTACCCCATTGTCAAAGCTTTAGGTAAGGCGCCACCGCAGCGAAGAGGAAAACACATGGCAAGGCGGCCTGGCGAAGCGCTCGAAACCAATGTATCGGTTTAGGGATGTAAGTTAGGTAGACCCCCCACCCAGTAATAGTGACTATAAGGGATAATAGGGATTATGTTAGGGTCCTCTTATATTCCTATTATACCACTATTACAGGGTGGGGGGGTCCTCCTAAGATGTAAGGTTCGCGGTTCGAGGGGTTTTCCTGGATATATGATCAAGCAGGGGGTCCATATTCGGTAGCTTACTTCAAGCTCCTCGACAGCAACCCAGTTTTGCAGACCGTCTGGCGAACTCCATTGCAAAGTACGGGGGACCTACAGTGGGCTGCTTGGGGCCATACCAGTTCAGAGGGGACAAGCATCTCTTGGCGCAAGTCTGTAAGCACGAATATGTATATATACATTTACATATTATTTATATACATATTTTGTATTTAATGTAATGCCTTAAGGGTTGAGGGTTTAGGGTTCAGGGCTTAAGGGAGCAATATATTCTTCTGAACGCTGACCCAACTCGAAGTGCCTAGATAAATACCACTAGAAGAATAGCACATCGATGTCTATTTGAGGTACACTATATTTAATTTGGCCACAGATCTAGGACAATAATATCAGTAGTTACTTGCAAATATTAGTACACCTCGAAAAAAAAGTTGGCCATGGTAATTCTTTCGGTTCCTCGGCTACTTTGAAGATGACTTCTAGAAGAGCTAGGCAAGTCTAGACCTCCGAGAGAAAAGGCTTCACGCTTCGGGGCTTACAAGAAAAATCGGGTCCCTGCAAACGGGATTTATAGGGGTACAGAATAGGGTCATATACAGGAATATATATATATATATCTATGTGTATATATATATAAAGGTATCTAGGGTTCAGAGCTTCCAATACATGGACGTCCCTTTTTTGGAAGTCCCTATGCTACGGGCCATATGACCTATAGTCTAAGCGCCTATCCCTTAATAACCCATAATAGTCCCCTATGTAACCCCTTTACAGAATTTAGATGACAGCTCATGTCATATTAGGGTCCGTGTTGGGGCCCCAAATTACGTGTTAGTTTAGGGTTTAGGGTTACCAAAATTGATGGTAGAAAGCTACGGAAGCTTCTCACACGGATGCTGAATGAAATATGGGGGGGGGTGTAAATGCCATCAATGGGGAAACAGGGGTCGCCCTCATGCATCCCAATGTATCATCACCCTAAACCCTAAACAACGGCTATGTAAAATGGGATCGCATAGGTATTCTGTGTACGGGGCCTAGTGTCTGAGATTTTCAGGCTGTGACTTTGGAGGTCTTACCCTGAGGGTCCAAGTACCTAATAATCATATACTTACCCAAAACCTATACTATAATGACTATTACCCAAAACCCAAGTACCCAATTATTAGGTACATGGACCCTAAACCCTAAATCCTAAACCCTGAACCCTAAACCCTATTTACCCCGATATCCCCTTTAAAGGTTCAGGAGTAGGGATTACCAAGACCCTGGATGCCCTTCCTTTTCGT